TTAGTGCACGCAAGTTTTTCTGCGACTTTATCTTTAATCATTTCAGCAATTGTAGGATCTAGAGACTTGATGGTCTCATCATTGATATTAATTCCTTTATTTTTATCTTCTAATAAGTCATTGATAGCCTTACTTATCTCGTCCTTGTTAATTTCGTTCCCCATAGGTCTAATAATTACATGTCCTGGTGAACCTTTACTGTAAATGCCTCTACTTTTATCAACACACCCACCTGCTCCATACATATTGCTTTTAAAATCATCACTGCATCGATTGACTGTTTCGTATCTTATTTCGCTAGTGTTAGATATCATATTATATACTATATACGCTGCTTGTTTGTTTTTTCTCATTTCTGGACTTGCAACTTTTATATTTTGAGTTTCTCCTTGTTGTAAGTCCCTATGGACTTTCGTTTCTATCCTTTGCATTCCTTGTCCATACTGTTTGAACCTACCACCACCTGCAGCAGTTACTAATGGTTTACACTTTCCCCCTGAGTTACTGCTACACATTTCTATTATGGTTGGTCCTCCATCCTTATTTGTTATAGACTGTGTTACATTACCACCACCTTCTGTAACAGTTGCTTTAAGGTAAGGATAATTGCGATCAACTTTCAATTTGACTTTAATGTAGTCACCTGGCATGCCAATTCTACTTTCTTTTGACCGAGCTTGACCAGATATGTGTCCTGCTTCACCACCACCCCACGCTTCTATTTCAACATATTCATATTTTGATAAATTATCAGTGTATTTATCACTACCTGCAAGATCGAAGCGTTTCTTATATTTATCTTCTTGCTCTGCCTTTTTTCCTTGCAAGTGTGCCATTACTATTCTATTCAAATCAGATGTTAAACCTTTCAAGTCAAATGTACATAACTTATCAGCATAGAAAACTTCAGTTTTATTTGCCCTGATTGGCTTTTCTTGTGGCACAATATCACCATTGCTTTCCTGTAAAACTTTCAAATAGAATGGCTCACCGGTGTCTTTTTTAACGTATCTCGTTGAGCGAGTATATGCATTATTTATTACAACACATCCATCATCTCCTGGCTTACATGGCCCTTTATATTCTGAATCTATTAACTTATATACTACTTTACAGTTGTGGCTGTTTCTCTTTCCATCTATGTCACTATCTTTTTGCACAATACATAATTCTTTTCCCTCATTATTCCTATCTCTAGGAAGGGTAATATATTCTTTCTTATCAAATACTATTTCATCCAATTTATCCTGAGGTTGTGCTAAAAGATCAAATGTTTCATTGCGCGTGAGATAATAAAGGCTCTTTGATTCTTCTGAATAAACAGGAACATATTTAGTGTAGCCGATATCCATTAATTTCAATCGTATTAGTTCTTCCTCTTCCTGCCTTGCAAGCACAAACTCTTCAGGTTCTGGTTGATAGCCAGAAATACAAAGCATGTTATTTCCTTTATCAGTTTCCCCATTTTTTTGATAACTTACTTCAATTTGTGGATATCCTAAATTATCCAACTTACATTTATTGTTTGCATCACGTTTTTTGCATCTTGCATCAATTCCAGGAACACAACCATAATCTCGCAATGTTTTAAATCTTGTCTCATTACTTAATATCTTATCTAATGCTTCATCAATTTTATCTTGGCCTTTTTGGGTCATGGCTGGTTTTATTACCTTTAAAGAAAAAGGACCTATACTTGTCTCACGACCATAATGAATATTAAAAGTACAGATACCATTATTGTAGGTACCATGATCTCTACAGATCTTGCTACTCATCCTCATTTTTACTTTCAGTGTTTTCTCTCTATCTCTATTGTTATCCTCTATATCG